GGATCACTTTTTTTATCGCAATTCTTTTCTAGTAATAAAGAAGTATATGTACCAAAACCTACTTGGGGAAATCATAGTCAAATATTTAGACTTGCTGGGCTTCCAATGAAATTTTATCGTTATTATGATTCAAAAACATGTGGATTAGATTTCAATGGTGTTTTAGAAGATTTATCTGTTAGTAATATATAAATATTATAATGATAAATAATATAATATATTTACAAATTCTATTTATAATATAATATTTTACAGAATATACCAGAAAAATCTATTGTTCTTTTTCATGCTTGTGCTCATAATCCCACTGGTGTTGATCCTAATCCAGATCAATGGAAAGAATTGGCTGAAACAGTAAAGAAGAGAAATCTCTTTCCCTTTTTTGACATGGCATATCAAGGGTTTGCTTCAGGTAGAATAATACATAAAAAGAATTAAATAATTTAATTTTTAATAACATACAAAAATTTGCATTTTAAAATATTTTAATATAAATTCTAGGTAGTATAGATAATGATGCTTTTGCTGTTAGATACTTTGTGAAAAATGGAATTGACATTATGTTAGCCCAGTCATATGCAAAAAATATGGGTTTATATGGTAAATATATTAAATATAATTTTATTATAATCTTTTTTGAAAGATTTTTGAGTTATAAATTTTTATAGGTGAACGTGTAGGAGCATTATCGGTAATTACATCCAACAAAGAAGAAGCAGATCGTGTTCTTTCACAATTGAAAATTATAATTAGACCAGCATATTCCAATCCACCAATTAATGGTGCTAGAATTGTTAATGAAATCTTAAATGATTCTGAATTAAAAAGACAATGGCTTACTGATGTAAAGACAATGGCTAACCGTATCATTTCTATGCGTCAAACATTGACTAATAATCTTAAAAAATGTGGTAGTTCTCGTGATTGGTCACATATTACAAATCAAATTGGAATGTTTTGTTTTACTGGTCTTACAACTTCTGAGGTATTATATTTAATATTGTCTATTTTTATTGTTACTAATAATTTAATTTTTATTTATTTTATAGGCAGAAAAACTTACAAAGGACTATAGCATTTATTTGACAAAGGATGGTAGAATATCTGTGGCAGGAGTAACAACAAAAAATGTAGACTATATTGCACAAGCTATGCATGATGTTACAAAATAATTAAATATTTCTATCTGTTTTATCAAATTTCTTTAATTAGATAAATAATATTTTTTGTAATATAAATTATATTAATTTTTTATTTTATATATTAATTATATTATTATATTATATATATTATATTATATATTATATAAATATATAATTATTATTATTTATATAATTATTAT